CTCACTCGTCAACGGCAGTATCATCGCCGGCAGCATCGTCATCGTCATAGAAAAAGTCATCATCGCTCGAGGTGACGGCACGGGAGGAGGAACGCGGCGCGAGTGCGGCTTGCTTGTCAGATTTGCCCGAGAAGACTGTGGTGACCTTGGCGATGGTTGAGAACAAGCGATGCGAGAAGGAAGGCTTGGGTGCAGCCGCCAGGACAGATGATGACGAGGCGGCAATGTCCTGGGACTGGACCGTGAGCTCCTCTGCAGCGGATGAGCCCAGCTCGTTGATCTCGTCCAAGTCATTAAGCACGGCCGCGAGTCGAGCTGAGGCGGCAGCATGGGTGGCAGCCACGTCGGACCCCGAGGGTGAGGATGAACAGGGGGCGTCGGAAGCGTCGGAAGCGTCGGAGACGTCGGAGGCGTCGGAGACAGAGTCTGCAACAACCTCTTTGGGCGCAGCAGGTGGGCCAGGCACGGAGATGTCGCGGCGAGAAACAGCAGGGCGGCCATGGCGAAGGACCTGGGAAGGGGAGGCACCAGGGCTACGGCCACGGCGGCTAGGGGGGGCGCGGCCAGGGGGGGCACCCCCACCGCCAGCGCTGCGGCGGCTGAGTCTGCTGCTGCGGGGAGAAGAGGCTTGATGGGCAGCGGACGACATCGAGCCAGCGGGCTCGGGAGCGGGTGGGACACGGTGTGCCTTGTTCCGCTCGACCACCTTGGACCTGGATTGCGAACTGCGCTTGGCTGCAATGCGCTTGCGGGTGTGGATGACCTCTGCGGTAACCTGCGCCCTTGCCTGTGCCTGTGACAGCGCCTGCGCCTGTGCCTGCACCTGCGCCTGCGCTTCGGCAACGGCCTTGGCCTCGGCCTCAGAGCGAGAAGCTGTGTTGCTGAGGCGCTTGGCCTCTTCGGTATCGACACTGCGATGCAGCTTCTTCTCCTTCTTCTTGCGCTTGATCTCCGAGTCGAGCACGTCCTCCGACTTGAGTTCCTTCGCCTTTCTGACCTCTTCTTCTTCTGCAGCCTCGTTGCGCTGCGTGGGGCGGGCAACAAGGCTACGCTTGGCGAAGTGAGGGTGGGCGATGACGGGCGCAGGCGGCATCGTGGGCATGGATACGGGCACTGCCGTGGGCTTGGCAAGAGCAGGCGTAGAAGCGGGTTCGTCGTGCGTGAGGAGTGCAGAAAGTGCGGCGAGCGATGGCCGTTCCGAAGGGAGCGGTGAGAGCGCGGCCGAGAGCGCGTCAGCGGCAGACGGAGAGAGAAGGTCTGAGCGCGCAAAGACAGCAAGATCGCCCGGCGGGGCGTGGAGATTGTCGCGACCAGCGGCAAATGCTCGGCGGAGGGCGAGGAGCTCCCAGGCAAGGACAGCAAGCGAGTAAGCATCGGACGAGAGTGTGTTGGGCTGGCCCATGTGAACTTCAGACGACATGTAGCGCGGGGTGCCGGCGCGAGAAAAGCGAACAGCCGGATGGTCGAGCGGAAGAGCAACGCCGAGATCGCAAATCTTGGCAGAGGTGATGCGGCCAGAGGCCGGATCTCGAACGAGCAGCACGTTTGCAGGCTTGATGTCGCGGTGCATGACGTCGAGCGAGTGGATGTGTGCCAGACCGGCAACAACAGAGGCTAGCACAGTGCGCTTGTCGCTCGGAGTGAGAGCGCGGCGAAGCGCTGCCTTGCGGATTACGGCAGCAAGATCGCCGCCGAGCACCAGTTCCATGACGATGGCAGCCGGCGGCGGGAGCGGGCGAGCACCGACGAGGGCAACCACATTCGGGTGGGCGCAACGATGAAGCAGGGCAGCCTCGCGCCAGAACGGATCGTCCTGCGCCGGCGCGTGGGCGGCAGCCAGCTGCTCCTGCTGACAGCGAGCATGCGAAGAGCGCGAGTCTGCCCGGGCTGTAGGCGTCCCTGCAGATGACGGCATGATGCCTGTAGCGGTGGCAGTGGCAGTAACAGTCCCCGACGACATGGCATCAGCAGAAGCCTCCGAGATGGTGTCCTGCATGGATGAGAAAGCTCTTCCACCCGAGCCAGAGTGAGAGTGACAGCCGTACGGATGTGAGCCAAGAGAAGATTGACCATGCGCAGAGGTAGTCGACGATGAGGTGATAGACGACGAGCAATCACCATGATGATCGGTGCTGCTCTTGTGGACCTCGTTACACTCGTTGACCTTGTTGAACTTGCCCATCGATTCCAATGCCTTGTGCGAATGAGCCGAGTTGATGGAACCATTCCCAGCGAGCGAATGAAGGAGTTTGACCGCAACTGGTCTGCCATGAAGCGATGCCCGAACAACTACAGAAAATCCTCCACTTCCAACAGCATCCGTTCCTCCCACTGAGTCATGGATGAGTGCCGTGTCAGGCGGAAGAAGGTACGCCGCCGCCGCCATGTCCCCCATGTCCCCCGCCGTCGTCTTCTGGCTTGTCCCGCTCCCACTCAAGTCTGCTTGTCCATGCCTCGATGTATGTTGTTTGCTGGCTGTGGGCGTCGCCATAGGGGTCGTCCCCGCAATAGCCGTGGCTGTGGCTGTCACAGTCGCCATGGTAGGGAGGTGGCCGGCGAGGGTGGGGTGTTCGCACAAGTCGGCTGATTGATCGGGGGTGGTACGGGCACTGGGCGAGGTCTGGGGGGTTGATCAGGGGTGGTACGGGCACACGCACTTGGTTGACGGTTAAACAGGTGGTGATCGAGCTGGGGCTAGGAAGGGGGCCAGGTGCAAGATCTGAATTTACGGCAAGTCGGTCTACGCCGACGGAAACTCAGTCGACATCTCGCCGTTTGTCGTATTGATGTAGAAGGTCTGGTTGGTAGCCGGGTTCGTCTTCTCGATCCACCCGTCGGGGAGCGGGATGGCGCCGGTTTCGACTGGCGGAGAGAGTACGCCGCGGCCCTCGGTCGGCGTGAGCGGCGGTGCCGTCACCCACTTCATCTGCCGAAAGACGATCATGGCCTCGGGGAAGTTCTTGCTGTGATACTTCGTCTTGCCGTCAACTGTCGACGTCCACGACACCTTGTGCTTTCCGTGATGGACCGCCTCGGGGATGTAGCCGAGGCTGATCATGCGACTGATCATGACGCTTGACGCCGCGAGAACCCCATACTTGGACTTGAACTCATGATTGTGGAGCTGGATGACCGAGTTGTCGAACGTGTTGCTGTACGGCTTGTGACTGATGATGTTGAACTTCTTGTCGGCCTCAGTCGCCATCTCGAGCCCAGCCTCCAAGAGCGTCTCAGCAATGAGCGTCTGGACGACTGTGTTGCATGGCGAGAGCTTGACGCGCGAGTGGGACAGGTTGATGACCACCCGCGGGTCAGAGAGCGGCACAAACGAGCCATCAAGTGGGACAAGAAAGACGACGTAGTTGTCATCGCCACTCAGCACCACACCTGCACCTGCAAACGACCGCAGCACCCGCAGCGTCATCAGTGTGGCCACGATGAGCCCCGCCGTCTCGGCGTAGAACGTGGTGTACTCCATCGTAGTCGTTACTTGCTTGCCGCCGGTCGGCACCTCCTCCCACGAGCTCATCCGTGCAAACGCTGCACGGATTGTCTCAGTCACCGCGTACGGCATGTTAGCCGTGGCGTAGAGAAAGTCCTTGCCCGAGATGGCAAACGCGGCGTGGCGCGCGGCGGGCGGATCCGACGGCGCGCGCTCGCGGATGACAAACAGGTACTCGTATGCCATGCCTTCGATGACCATGCCGATGGTCGAGAGCGCGTTGGCGAGGGCAGCGACAGCGTCAAAGGCCGAGATCTTCTTCTCAAACGACCACACCTTGTCGACCTTGGCTGTAAACGTCCGATCCTTGTCCGAAGGCGCAAACGGCGCCGTCAGCACCATGCCCTCGCCGCCGAGCGCCTCGCTCAACCCTGCAAGCGTCTCCTCACCAATCGAAGCCGAGACAACAATCTTCTCAGCCTGCGCCGAGATGACATGGTAGACTGCGCCGGCCGGCGGGATCACCTTGGGCCGCTCTGGGATGTCATCGACCTCACCACTGTTGGTGCTCATCGAGCCACCAGTCGCGCCTGCCGAGAGCATCACAACTTTCTTCTTGGCCATGTCCGCGGCCTTGTCCTTCATCGACTTGCCGCCCTTCATAGCAGCGCCGTCGGCCTCATCGTAGCTCGGAGGAGCAGCATCGTCGATAGTGCCGGACGGCGAGTAGATCGACGGCGCCACAAAATGGAACTGCGGCTGGGCACAGTAGTGACCGCCACCAGCAAGCACGTATCCCATCTGGGTGATGGCAGTGATGGCGGCGGCAAAGATGCCAGCCCATGGTCCGCGCTTGGACGGATAACCCTTGAACTTTGCCCGGAAGTGGTCTGCATTTTCCTGAAACGGCTTCTTGAGCACATAGCCCGCGGCTGCTACAGCAGCCTCGATGGCATCAAGCACGGCTCGCGGCGTAGAGAGCGATGCCATCCACTCATCCTTGTCATCTCCAGCGAGGGTAAAATGCGTTGTGTCAACAGTGGCCATTCTGACCATGCAATGAGTCGGTCAGACCACGCACCTCGGGCAACTATGTGAGTCCGGAAAAAGGCAGCAGGAAGACAACCCAACTGGCAAGCTAGAATCACACGTACATGATAGAGTCTGATGCGCGTTCTTGCTTTGTGCAAGAAGGAGAGGTGTTGCAAGAAGTCGCCCTCACCAGTCCTTGACCGGTATGCCGACTCGAGCGGGGTTTGTGCGTTTTGATTCCTGGAACACGCACCATCCTCGTGCACGCACGCTTGGGTCGCTTGCCCATATTCAAGCAAAAAATACAAAAGAGTGAATGTGAAGAAGGACAGAAAGGCATGATGGTATGGATGCTGTGTGTAACCATGGAATGTGTATATCTCCGGCACTACAGGACATCATGTCTGACGGGATGACTATGCGCGTGCGTCACTTGACATCCAACACCATCATGGTTCCACACGTTCGATTAATGCATGCCACCAATAATGAATGTTCGACCAAAGCATGGTGGTGCTGATGTGAGCTGAAGGATGACAATGACTGTGGGTGGCGTTCGGTGCTATGAGATATAATCAGTAACTGGTTGTTGAAGGTCCTAGAACAGGTGTGCAAGGGCTGTGTCCATCATGTGCCCCCGCCATCGTCTCAGATAGACTGCATAACATGGTTGTCCTGTGTTCAGCATGGGCTGTGTCCATCATGTGCCCCCGCCATCGTCTCAGGGATCACTGGTCAGTCTAGCATAACATGGTTGTCCTGTGTTCAGCATGGGCTGTGTCCATCATGTGCCCCCGCCATCGTCTCAGGGATCACTGGTCAGTCTAGCATAACATGGTTGTCCTGTGTTCAGCATGGGCTGTGTCCATCATGTGCCCCCGCCATCGTCTCAGGGATCACCGGTCAGTCTAGCTTGTTGCGACCTGCGGGATTGGAGCGGGACATACTCGACGCAGAGAGGAATGGAGGAAAAGGTAGACGAGTACCACCGGTTCCTGGAGGATGTATTGAGACCGCAGCTTGAGGTCCGTGAGCGTGAACTTGCTGCGGTGCGTGCTGAAGAGGCTGCGGTGGGTCGGGTGGAGGAGACGCTGGCAACGCTGGTCGACCGACGGATGGGCTCACTGGAGACAGTGGTGGACATGGGCGCCGGATGTGGCATGCGCGCAGAGGTCGAATCGGTCTCCAAAGTCTTTGTTCATGTCGGGCTTGGCTTCCATGTAGAGATGACCTTGCCAGAGGCTCAGGCTTGGGCTGTTGCTCGTCGCGAGGTCATCGCTGCTGATCTGGATCGCCGCATCCGTGCCGTGGCAGAGACCCGCGCTCACATTCGCGTCGCTATGGCCACCATCCGCGAGCTGAGAGAACCAACTGTTCCCGAGGACTAAGAGGAGTTGTGTGATGCGGGGTTAGAGGGCATGGTCTGGTGGAGTGTGTCGTCGTCAGAACCGATGTCGTGGCTGTCTGGTGCGCTGCGACATGAGCCTCATCCACTGTGCAACCTCACCGTCGGAGCCGTGCGCTATGCACGACGACTAGGCCGTGGACTACGCATCACGGCAGGGGAAGCTCGCTTCTGTATTCGCCTCGTCTGCAACAGGCATGGTGGATTATGCCTGGCTCGACTTGATGAGCTTGGCTAGACGCGAGAGAGCCTCATCGTAAAGCTTGGGATCGGCGACGGAGAACGAGGCGCGGACATAGGGCGAGGGTGCGCCTGAGGGTGAAAAGGCCGAGCCCGGGACGAGAATGACTTTGGCGGCGATGGCCTTTTCCTTGATGAGGGTGAACGAGTCCTCGATGCCGAGGATCTTGATCCAGAGGAACATGCCTGCGGTCGGGAGCGACCACTCGGCGAGGCCGGCAAGGTGCTTGTCGGCGGCAGCGGCGAGGGCGGTGGCCCGAGCAGCGTAGAACTCGCGAACAGCGGCAACGTGGGCGTTAAACCCGTCAGGGCCCCACGCGTCGAGGACGGCGGCGGCGATGGCCTGCGAGATACCTGATGAGTGGAGCGAGGTGGCCTGGGCGTGAAGGAGGATGGCGTCGACGAGCGGGCTCGGCCCGGTGACCCATCCGAGGCGAAGACCCGACGAGAGGATCTTGGAAAACGAGTCAAAGCGGAGGACACGCGACGAGGTGTCCATCGAGAGGAACGACGGCTGCGGTGCCACCGGGGGGTGGGTGAGGAAGTAGTATGGATCGTCCTCCAAGATGAGAAGTCGTGGGCGCAGGCGAGGTCGTAGATCCGGGCCTTGCGCTCGGCCGAGAGCGTGGCACCCGAAGGGTTCTGCCCGGTCACAATGGTGTACAGCGCCTTGGGCTTGGGCTTGTCCTCCGGCCAGGCCTCCAGGATGGCCTCGAGCGAGTCCGGGACCAGGCCGAGCTCGTCGAGCTCGACATCAACCAGATCAACGCCGGCCGGCTGGAGATACGCCAGTGCACCCGAGTACGACGGGTTCTCCAGCAGTAGCGATTCGCCAGGACCAAGAATGGCGGCAAAGGCCTTGGTCAGCGCGTCCTGCGAGCCGGTCGTCACCGCCAGTGCCCGATCCACACCAACTGCCGACGCGTTCTCGCCGTGGTACCGAGTCATCAGACCCGTAAGGCCATCGACCAGCCGCGGAAGACCAGGCGTGGCCGAGTACTGCAGCGCCTCGTCGAGCATGGTGCCATCCAGAGTCACCTTGATGGACTCGGTCTGTGTCGCAGCATCGCCAAGAGAGCCTGGAGCGTTGACATCGATGGTGATCTTGGAGAGCGGAAAGGTAGCAGGATTGGGAAGACCAGCCCCAAGCGAGATCATGCCAGGTTCGCGAAGCAGTGGCATTAGTGCCCGAATGGGCGATGGCTTCCGAGCACGAGCCGTCTCGGTGAGAAAGGCCGAGTAGTTTGGCGCGACAGCAGCGGCAGCCATCGTCACCGAATTGGTCGCCGTCGTCATCGCCATTGTGCTTGAGTTCTTTGAGAGAGACATAACCCGACCAGCAATTCGCAGCATATACCTTCAATAGTCTTAGATACTCTTGCTTCTACTTCAATGCCACACCGTCACCTCGGAGTAGCCAACGAGCAAAGAGTCGTGTCTTCCAGTCCTTCCGCACTCAGTTGAGCACTGCGGGTGGCGCCACGTCGCCGACCATAATTTGGTCAATTCTGGGCATTTCCTCCGAGACAGTCTCACATCCGCTCTGATGTCATCAAGACGATCTAGAGAGCCCGAAAGAGGGGGAAGGGGGGAGGGGGAGGAAAGGGGGGAGAAGAGGGGGATCAAGGCGATAGCGTATGGCTAGCCGCTCTGTGTCCATTTGTATATGTGTCAGTTGTACCTTCCAATCGACTCATTTGCTACCTTCTTGTGCTCCTCGCGTGCGCGTTCTGTTCTTCTAGGTCTGAGCTCACGATTATTTTACTTTACTAATTGTAGCGCTCACGCTCCAACCCGCATCCGCACTCGCAGCCGACGAGACGACGAGGCGACGACGATCGGTGGCTATGGGCGAGCGGTAGGCACGCCTCTCTCTCTCACCCTCTGTAGAGACAACCTGTGGACAAGGCCGTCGGACCGGAACAAGAACCCGACAGCAACCACAAAGAGAGTTTCTTCTCTTCACTTTGGTTGTCACAGATACAAAGAAGGCACTTCATTTCTTCTCTATACCCTCTACCCGTGTGCTGGTGAGACGGACCAAAGCGCGCGCACCAAATCTTTCAACGGCGGTTTGGCTAACAAGACCAGCCGCCCCCCCCCCCACCTTACCCCCCTGTGGCTCTACACTGAGTACAGGACCCGTTCAAAGGGATCAAGGTAGTGTATAGGTTGTGTAGCAAGAGGTAGTAGGGCAGTGGCTTTTTTTTTCCTCTTCATTCTCCTCAACTAGGCTTGTACAGACGACGACTTCAGCCATGTTCAGGTCGTTGTCGCGAAGCAACCTCCGGCGATCGCAATCGATCAATGCCTTTGTCAACGCTCTCCGGCAGGCAAACATCAAGCCAACGCACAACTTTATTTTCACCGCTGTGGCAAAGGCCTTTGGCATCTCGGTCTCGCAGGTGGAAGAGTATGCGCTGACGGGTGCTCATCTCTCGCAGGTCAACCAATTCCTCGCGGCAGATGGTCCGTGGAAGCTCATGTTCTACTTTCAGCCGCTGGAGACCGGCGCCGCCGATGACGACGCCGACGAGAGCGCTGGCGGGCCGTCGAAGCGGAGCGGTGCACCAACGCTGCGGATCACCGACGGCAAAGACGAGCCGCTGCGCGGCAAGGCCATTTACTTTCTGCGGATGCGGCAAGTCGAGCTGACTGAGGCCAACATTGCCACAGAGGTGGTGACCGGGCGGATCTCCGGCGGCGTCGGCCTCCTCTCGTCACTGCAGGAGACGATCGAGCACGTCATGCTTCCTGCACTCTCGGCGCAGGGCATGTGGGGCGAGCTGCCGAACGACTCTGACAAGATCGAAGCATTCCTGGAGGCGCTGGACAAGTTTGTGACGATGCTCGCCCAGGTCATGTCGTCGCTGGCGCAGGGCGTGACACTGCGGCTGAAGGCACTACCGATCGAGAACAAGCCGAGTGCCTTTGCCGAGGCTGCTCTCTCGCCAGAGCTTGTGGCCGAGTGCGAGGAGCTCGTGGACGACTGGTGCAAGAAGATCGACCTCGTACTCGCCGAATCCGAGGTTGTGCGGCGCGAGTCGGACTCGGTCGGGCCGAACAAAGAGCTCGAGCACTGGAAGGCGCGGATGGCCAAGTTCAACACCATCACCGACCAGCTCAAGCACGAGACGGTCAAGGTGGTCATCGGAACGCTGACGGCGGCCAAGTCGAAGAAGCTCGAGGTGTGGAAGACGCTTGACAACCGCATCACCGACGCTGCCAACGAGGCCAAGGACAACGTGAAGTACTTGTACACGCTCGAGCGGTTCTCGGAGCCGCTCTACAAGTCGGACCCCGTGCAGATGGTCGAGGCCATCCCGGGCCTCATCAACGCCATCAAGATGATGCACTCGATCGCGCGGTACTACAACACCAGTGAGCGGATGACTGCGCTCTTTGTCAAGATCACCAACCAGATGATCACGTGCTGCAAGGAGTACATCCGTGGCGACGGCGAGATCTGGGAGCAGGACCGGTCGACGCTCATCGGCAAGCTCCAGGCCTGCCTCGCGCTCAAGAAGGCGTACCAGGACGCGTTCCGCCAGACCAAGACTCGGCTCCGGTCGCAGCCCAAGGACAAGCAGTTTGACTTTTCCGAGATGTACATCTTTGGCAAGTTTGAGCTCTTTTGCAAGCGGGTTAAGAAGCTCATCGACACCTTTATCATCATTGAGCAGTTTTCGGCGCTCGAAAACTGCTCCATCGAGGGCATGGGCGAGATTCTGGAGCGGTTCAACACCATTGTCGCCGAGCTGCGGAACAAGCAGTACGACTTGCTCGACCACCGCAAGCTCGAGTTTGAGGCCGACTTTGTGCTCTTCTACGAGAAGATTGTCGACCTCGAGCGGCTGCTGCAGGAGTTTATCAACGCCGCTTTTGAGCCGATCACCTCGACTCAGCGTGCGCTCTCGCTCCTCCGCCAGTTCCAGAGCGTCCTTCTCATGGACTCGCTCCGCGCCGAGCTCGAGAACAAGTACTTGCTCATCTTTGCCAACTACGGCCGCGAGCTCGACGTTGTCCGCCGCCTGTACGAGAAGCAAGCCAACGCGCCGCCGATTCCGCGCGACACCCCGCCGGTTGCCGGCGCCATCTCGTGGGCCCGCCAGCTTCTGCGCCGGATCGAGGAGCCGATGAAGCTCTTCCAGGCCCACCCGCACATTCTGTACACTCTCGAGGCCAAGAAGGTCATCCGGGTGTACAACAAGCTCGCTCGGGCGCTTGTCGAGTTTGAGACCCTCTACCACGAGTCGTGGATGAACTCGGTTGAGGAGGTCAAGTACGCGCTCAACGCTACGCTGCTGGTGCGGAACCCGGGCGCCAAGTCGGTCATCCTCGTCAACTTTGACTCGCTCATCCCCAAGCTCATTCGCGAGACCAAGGCCATGCAGCGTATGGAGCTCGAGGTGCCCGAGACCGCCAAGCTCATCACCATGCAGGAGGCCAAGTTCAAGGCCCACTACAACAACCTGCAGTACATGCTCGAGGAGTACTCGCGCGTCCGCTCCAAGATCCCCAAGAAGTTCGCCCAGCTCATCGGGCCGCACGTCGAGCTGGTCAAGTCGCGCATCGAGCCTGGCCTGGTGAGCCTTACTTGGACCTCGCTCAACATTGACGGCTACCTTGCCGCCATCCACGAGTCACTGGCCCACCTTGAGGACCTCGTCGACAAGATCAACGACATTATCGCCTGCCGCGTCGACTCTACGCTCGCAAGCATCCGCGCCACCCGCCTCATCGACCTCCCCTCCGAGTCGTCTATCACCATCGAGGCCTTTGCCGACGCTGCCGAGGAAACGACGCGGAGCCGCGCCGCAAGCCTTGACTCCAAGGTCGTTCTCGTCGAGTCGGCTGTCCAGGACCTTGTCGCCCTCATCACCCGTGGCTACACCTCGTCGGACATGGCCAAGGTCGAGGGCTTTATCGACCGCGTCGCGCAAGAGTACGCCAACGCCACGTTTGAGGCCATTGTTGAAGCTGTCAAGGCCTCGATGGAGCTCATCAAGTCGCGACTTGTTGGGAGCAGCAGCGATGGCAACACTTCGCCCGAGGCCGACGCCGATGGGACTGGGGCTGACGGCGGGGCAGGCAGTGCCGGGCCGTCGAGCGGCATGTCTGGTGCCAAGACTGTGTCCGGGAGCGGCAGCGGGGTTGCATCCGACGGCAGCGTTCCGCTCTTCAAGCTCTCTGTCGAGCTCGAGGTGCCGGAGCTTGTCCTCACGCCGTCGCTCGAGGCTCTCCAGCAGTACATCGACGTGGTGGTGGAGAAGATCAAGGTTGCGTCGGCGCTCATCTACACGTGGGGCCAGGAGCGGCCGACCAAGCGCAAGGGTGCGAGCGGCGGCGCCGGCGAGCTCGGCGAGGGTGCTGGCGACGAAGAGAGTGCCGGCAACCGGACGCTCAACACGTCACTGACCGGCTCAGTCATCGGCTCGCCGGGCGGGCTCGCTGCGTCGTTTGTGGGCTCGCTCGCCGGTGGTGACGATGCTGGCGGCGACGATGCCGGCGTCCTCCGCAACTACTACGAGTCGATTGAGAACCACAAGGAGATTCTCAAGCTCCAGCGCGAGCTCGCGGCTGTCACCTCGCAGCTCAAGAGCCGGGTCAAGGCCGACCTCTCGCGGTTCTCCAAGTACGCGTTCCTCTGGTCGGAGGACCGCAACGCGACGTACGAGAGGTTCTTGGCGAGCACGCCAGGCATCGAGGCCTTTGAAAACGAGCTCGGGCGGTACGAGGGCCTGCGGCGCGAGATCGAGGACCTTGCCGCCGTCGTTGTCATCGGCGCGGTGGCACTCGACTACGGCGAGCTGAAGCGGGCGCTGAGCTCCGAGGCCGTGGGCTGGAAGCAGTTCTACGGGGACAATCTCAAGATCAAGAGCCACCAGGAGATGAACGAGCTGGTGGCGTTCTTTGACGAGTCGACGGTCAAGCTCAACCGGCAGCTCAACGACCTCGACGATATCCGGGCGGTCATGGACGTGCTCGCCGAGCTGCGGAAGGAGGAGACCTCGATCTCGATGAAAATCACGCCCATCGAGGAGACGTACTCGCTCCTCAACCACTACTCGATCCGGTACTCCAAGGAGGAGGCCGACGCGGCTGACAACCTGCGGTACTCGTGGAAGAAGCTCAAGATGGGCCTGGCCATTGCCAAGCAGGCTGAGCTCTCCAAGCTCCAACCCAAGTTCAAGAAGGAGCTGCTGCGGTCTGTCGAGGCGTTTGAGGACGACGTCGACGAGTTTGTGGCCGACTACACGCTCAACGGGCCGATGGTGCGAGGCATTTCGCCGCGTGTTGCGGTGGAGCGTCTCAAGGCGTTCCAGCGGCTGTTTGAGGAGCGTGAGCGGAAGATGACCACGTACCAGGGCGGCGAAGTGCTCTTTGGTCTGCCAGTCCACGAGTACCCCAAGCTAGTCAAGATCCGCAAGGAGCTGCGGCTGCTCGAGAGCCTTTACGGCCTGTACTCGGACGTGTTGGTGACCGTGGGTGGGTACGAGGACATCATCTGGAGCGAGCTCGACCTCGAGGGCATTCAGCAGCAGATCAAGGGCTTCCAAGACAAGTGCAAGCGACTGCCCAAGGCCATGCGGGAGTGGGAGGCGTATCTCGAGCTCAAGACCAAGATCGACGACTTTGACCGGCTGCTCCCGCTGCTGGCAGACTTGTCGCACCCCGCGATTCTCTCGCGGCACTGGGAGGCCATTTCTGAAGTGACCGGGACCAAGTTCAAGGTTGACATGGACACGTTCAAGCTCAAGAACCTGCTCGAGGCGACACTGCTGGAGAACGAGGCCGAGGTACACGACATCTGCTTTGCCGCCGTCCGTGAGGCCGAGATTGAGACCAAGATCAACGCGCTGCAGGACGAGTGGTCGGACGCGAGCTTTGAGTTTGCCAACTTTAAGAAGCGCGGAGCCATCATTCTCAACGGCGAGCGGACGCAGGAGATCATGTCGCAGATCGAGGACTCGCTGATGGTCCTTGCCGGCCTCCTCTCGTCGCCGTACAACAAGCCGTTCAAGGCAGACATTCTGCTCTGGTCGCAGAAGCTCTCGACGTGCTTCCGCGAGATCGAGAACTGGGTCCACGTCCAATCGCTGTGGATTTACCTCGAAGCGGTCTTTGTGGGCGGTGACATTGCCAAGGCCATGCCGCTCGAGGCGAAGCGGTTCGCCTCGATCGACAAGTCGTGGGTCAAGATCATGAACGCGGTGCGGGACAACCCGAACGTGGTCTCGTTTGTGTACTCGGACGAGACGCTCTCGAGCCTCCTCCCGCACCTTGCTGACATGCTGGAGCTCTGCCGGTCGTCGCTCGCCGGCTACCTCGAGGGCAAGCAGCGGATTTTCCCGCGGTTCTACTTTCTCTCGCACCCGGCCCTGCTCGAAGTGCTTGGCTCGGCCAACTCCAACTGCCAGGCCGTGCAGCCGCACCTCAAGTCTGTCTTTGCCAACATCCATCGGGTCAAGTTCTCCAAGACCGAGTTCAACCACATTGTGGGTATGACGTCGGGCGAGGGCGAGTACGTCCCGCTGCGCAAGAGCATGGAGTGCGAGGGCAATGTGGAGAACTGGCTCAACGTCCTCATCTCGCGGATGAAGGAGACGGTGCGGAGCATTCTGCGGCGCGGTGCGTCGGTCATGGGCTCGATGGACCTTGACGCGTTTGTGATGGAGCACGCGGCGCAGGTTGGCCTCCTCGGCATTCAGCTCAAGTGGACAGAGACTTGCGAGAAGAGCCTTGGTGAGGCCGCCAAGGGCGACCAGAACGCGATGAAGGCGCGTGACTTTGCCAACTACAACGACTTTATGACGCTCGTCACGCTCACGCGCGAAGACCTCGACCGACGCGACCGCGTCAAGGTTGAGACGCTTGTCACCATCTCGTACCATCAGTGGGACATTTTCAACGAGCTGTTCAAGGCGTACGTGCGGAGCCCGGAAGACTTTGACTGGCTCAAGCAGACCCGCTTCTACTGGCGCGGGGCCGACGCCAACTGTAAGATCCACATCACTGACGTCGAGTTTGAGTACTGCTACGAGTACCTCGGGTGCACAGATCGGCTGGTCATCACGCCGCTCACGGACCGATGCTACATCACTCTCGCACAGGCCATGGGCATGTCGCTCGGCGGCGCGCCGGCCGGCCCGGCTGGAACCGGCAAGACCGAGACTGTGAAGGACATGGGCAAGGCGCTCGGCAAGTACGTCGTCGTCTTCAACTGCTCGCCCGAGATGACTTACCAGCAGCTGGAGAAGACCTTCAAGGGTCTCGCCATGTCTGGGTGCTGGGGCGACTTTGACGAGTTCAACCGCATCAAGCTCCCGGTCCTCTCTGTGGCGGCGCAGCAGATTTCGTCGATTTTTACGGCCAAGCGCGACCAGCTCGACCGCTTTGTCTTTACCGACGGTGCGCTCACGCCGCTCGACACCGAGTGCTGCATCTTCATCACCATGAACCCGGGCTACGCCGGGCGGCAGGAGCTTCCGGAGAACCTCAAGCTCCAGTTCCGGACGTGCGCCATGATGGTGCCTGACCGTGACATCATTATGAAGGTCAAGCTTGCTGCGTCGGGCTTCCAGAAGTTCCTCTCGCTTGCCATCAAGTTCTTCTGGCTCTACAAGCTGTGCGAAGAGCAGCTGTCGGAGCAGATTCACTACGACTTTGGCCTCCGCAACATTCTCTCAGTCCTCCGGACCGCTGGTGCGGTCAAGCGCGCGCATCCGGACGACATGGAGGACGACATTCTCCAGCGGGTCTGCCGGTCGATGAACCTCTCCAAGCTCGTCGACGACGACTACCAGCTCTTCCTCTCGCTGCTGTCGGACCTGTTCCCGGGCGAGTTTGCGGTCCAGCACGGAGCCAAGGACCTCGACATGTGCATCGACTCGCAGTGTGAGTCGCTCGGCCTCATCCCGCACCCGAGCTGGAAGCTCAAGCTGTTCCAGCTTGAGGAGACGGCCAAGGTGCGGCACGGCATCATGGTGCTTGGCCCGTCCGGTGCTGGCAAGACGACGTGCATTTCGGTCCTGCTCGGCGCGCTCAAGGAGACTGGCCTCTCGTACCGCGAGTGGCGGATGAACCCGAAGGCGATCAAGACGCAGCAGTACCTAGGCAAGACCGAGACGGCGACCAACGAGTGGAAGGACGGCATTTTCTCGTCGCTCTGGCGCAAGGCCAACAAGATGCTCGAGAAGAAGAAGGATGAGCATGTGTGGCTCACCATGGACGGACCTGTGGACTCGCTGTGGATCGAGTCGCTTAACACAGTGCTCGACGACAACAAGACGCTGACGCTGCCTAACGGCGACCGGCTGCCGATGCACCGTAACCTCAAGCTCATTTTCGAGGTCGACTCGCTCGACAACGCGTCGCCGGCTACAGTCTCGCGGTGCGGTATGATCTACATGTCGGACACGGCACTCGGGTGGCGACCGGTCCTCGCCTCGTGGCTCAAGAGCCGGGCCGACTACGAGGTTGAAGTCCTCCACGAGCTGTTTGAGGCGGTGTGGGACGCCGGACAGCTGTTTGTTAGCGAGTCGCTCAATGTGACGATGGTGACGCCGCTCATCAACGCCATTCAGATGGCGCTCAACCTGCTGACTTCGTCGCTCAAGCGGCCATCAACGGCTGCGGCGCCGAGCGCGGTGCACCTCAACCGGCTCTTTGTTTTTGCCTTTGTGTGGGCGCTTGGTGGCCTGCTCTCGGAGGAGGAGCGTGTCAAGTTCTCTGCACACTTGTACGAGAACGACGCGTTTGCGACGCTCGACCTGCCGGACATTGGCGCCTTCCGCGACGCGGCCGACGGTGACACTATCTTTGAGTTTATGGTCCGACCCGGCGGGTCGTGGGCGCACTGGGCCTCGCAGGTGCCCGAGTTTGAGTACCCGGAGGTTGGCGATGTGCGGTTCCACGACATTCTCGTGCCGACGACCGACTCTGCGCGGCTTGAGTTCCTCACCAATGAGATCATGAAGCAAGGCCTGCATGTCCTGCTGGTGGGTGAGTCGGGAACGGCCAAGACGGTGACCATTCTGCAGTACATGGCCAAGCAGGATCCGGACAAGTACCTCTCCAAGGTGGTCAACTTTTCGTACGCGACCGAGACCGACGGGTTCCAGTCTGCCATCGAGGGCTCTGTGCAAAAGGTGCACACGGGCGTGTTTGCGCCGCAGTACGGCAAGAAGATGATGGTGTTTGTGGACGACATCTCGATGCCCGAGACGAACGAGTGGGGCGACCAGCCGACAAACGAGACGGTGCGGCAGCTGATCGAGGAGCAGGGCCTGTACTCGCTGGAGAAGCCAGGCGAGTTCCTTAAGATCATCGACCTCCAGTTCCTGGGCGCGATGTTCCACCCGGGCGGCGGACGGAACGACATTCCGTCGCGGCTTAAGCGGCACTTTGCAGCGTTCAACTGCACGCTGCCGTCGCCGGCGTCTATCGAGCGCATTTTCTCTGTCATTGTGCAGGGCCACTACTCGTACGAGCGCGGGTTCTCGGGCGAGGTTGTCGAGCTTGCGGGCCAGATGACGAGCCTCACGACGCGGATCTGGAGCCTGACCAAGGCGCGGATGCTGCCGACGCCGGAGCACTTCCACTACGTGTTCAACCTCCGCGACCTCTCGCGGATCACTGAGGGCCTCATCGACACGCAGAGCGACGTGGTGACGTCGCGGAGCGTGCTGCTCACGCTCTGGCGCCACGAGTGCGAGCGTGTGCTCAGCGACCGGCTCATCTCGTCGGAGCACCGCAAGTGGTTCGCGGCGACGATCACGTCTGTGGTCTCGGAGGCGTTTGGGGCGCAGGTGGCGGCCGAAGTCATGTCGCCGTGCTTCTTTGTCGATTTTCTGCGCGACGAGCCGGACATTGACGAGATTGATCTCGATGACCCGAACGCCAACTTTGACGCTCCCAAGGTGTATGAGCCGATCAAGAGCATGAAGGCGCTGCGGTCGCGGATCAAGGGCTTCATGGACCAACACAACGAAGAGGTGCGTGGTTTTGTCCTCGACCTGGTGCTGTTTGAGGACTGCATCAAGCACGTAGTCAAGATCTCGCGCATCATCCGGCGGCCGCGTGGCTGCGCGCTGCTGGTGGGTGTGGGCGGTAGTGGCAAGCAGTCGGTGACCAAGCTGGCGGCGTACATTGCGGGCCACGAGACGTTCCAACTCCAGATGACGCGGAGCTACAACGTGTCCAAGCTGATGGAGGACCTGCAGGTCCTGTACCGCAAGGCCGGTGGCGAAGGCAAGAAGGTCACGTTCATCTTTACGGACAACGACATCAAGGAGGAGCGGTTCCTCGAGTACATCAACTCGATCCTGACGAGTGGCGATGTGGACGTGATGGCCAAGGACGAGCGCGACTCGATTCTGCTTGAGCTTCGCGAGGTGATGAACAAGGAGCGACCGGAGCTGGAGGACAACATGGTGAACCTCAACAAGTTCTTCATCGAGCGTGTGCGGCAGAACCTGCACATTGTGCTCTGCTTCTCGCCTGTGGGCGAGAAGTTCCGGACGCGGAGTCTCAAGTTCCCGGGCCTTGTTTCTGGAGTGACGATTGACTGGTTTGACCCGTGGCCGCTCAAGGCGCTCAAGGCAGTGTCGCGGCGGTATCTGGTCGAGTTCCCGATGGTGTGCGAGGCGTCGGTCCGCGAAGCGCTCATCGAGTACATGTCGAACGTGCACTTTTTGGTGGAGCGGACGTCGAAGCGGTACTTTGAAAAGTACCGCCGCAACGTGTTTGTCACGCCCAAGTCGTACCTCTCATTCCTCTCGTCGTTCCGGGCAGTCTACGAGCAGAAGAAGGCCGAGATCGACGCAGAGGACTCGCGGATGAAGATCGGTCTGCAGAAGCTCGAGGCTGCCGAGATTTCGGTCTCGAAGCTCAAGGAGAAGCTCGATGAGCAAGAGGTGGAGCTTGTCAAGGCGCAGGAGGTGGCGCGCCAGCAGCTCGACAAGATTGTGACCAAGACGGCCGAGGCGAAGAAGGAGAAGGACAAGGTCAAGGCGGTGAAGGACCAGGTCCTTGTCCAGCAGCAGGAGGCCGAGGCGGCGTCGCAGGCTGCTGACGCGGAGCTTGCCAAGGCGTTGCCGCATCTCAAGGCTGCAATTGCGGCGCTGGAGGTCATCGACCCAAAGGACATTAACGAGCTGCGGGCGGGTAACCACCCGGTCCACTTTACCAAGCGCGTCCTCGACTGCGTGCGAATCATGCGGTACCTGGGGATGGAGCCTGTTGAGATGGAAGAGAACGGGAAGATCCGGACCTCGTGGGTGGAGTCGAAGCGGATGATGAACAAGAAGGACTTTCTGGACTCGCTGCTCAACTTTCCGCTCACCACGCTCAACGGCGAAATCATCGAGCTCCTCGAGCCGTACTTTGACGACGAGGAGTTTATGGTGGGCTCGGACCGTGCTGCGACGGTGAACCTGGCGCTGAAGGGCCTGTTTGAGTGGTGCGAGGCTATCATCAAGTACTACCACGTCTCGCGCGACATTGAGCCGAAGCAGATGGCGAAGAACAAGGCGCAGAAGCGGCTGCAGCAGGCAAACGAAGAGCTGTCTGACGCGCAGAAGCAGCTCGACGAGAAGGAGGCTGTTCTCGCGGCGATGCAGGCCAAGTACGACGCGTGCCAGGCGGAGGAGCAGCGGCTGGCGAGCATTGCCGAGAAGACGAAGCGGACGATGACGGCTGCGCTTGCGCTCATCGACGGGCTTGCCGGCGAGAAGGAGCGGTGGACGGCAAAGAGTCTGACGTTTGGCGACGTGGTGACCAAGCTGGTGGGCGATGTGGCGGTGGCGACGGCGTTCCTCTCGTACGCGGGACCGTTTATGCAGGAGTACCGGAACCGGCTGGTGAAGCAGTGCCGGAGCGACCTCAAGTCGAGCCACATTCCGTTCTCGTCGGAGCTCGACGTGGTCAAGCTGCTGACGGACGACAACGAGGTCGGGCAGTGGAACCTCGAGGGTCTGCCGACGGACGGACAGTCGACGCAGAATGGCATCATTGTTGTGAACGCGGCGCACATGTACGCGCGGTTCCCGCTCATGATTGACCCGCAGGGCCAGGGGCGGGCTTGGATTCTCAACCACGAGGCAGCCAACGGGCTCAAGGTGGTGACCTTTGACACGCGTGGGTTCAAGGACACGCTCGAGACGTGCGTGCAGACGGGCGTGCCGCTCCTCATCGAGGATGTGGGCAACGAGCTCGACCCGATTCTCGATCCTGTGCTCGAGCGCGGAGTCAAGCTTCCGGGCGCCAAGCACTACATCTGCAAGATTGGTGACAAGGAGGTTAACTACGCCGAGGGCTTCCGGCTGTACATGACGACGAAGATTGCCAACCCCAAGTACTCGCCCGAGGTGTGCGCCAAGACGGCACTGGTGGACTTTACGGTGACGCGGTCAGGGCTGGAGGATCAGCTGCTCGGGCGGGTCATCCGGCACGAGCAGGAGTACCTCGAGACGAAGCGGGCTGCGCTGTTGGAGGAGCTCAACACGAACAAGCAGCTGATCAAGAGCCTTGAGGACAACCTGCTGGCGAAGCTCTCTCAGACAGAGGGCAACCTTGTGGACGACACGGAGCTCATCAACGTGCTCCGCAAGTCGAAGACGACGTCGGAGGAGGTGAAGGAGAAGATTGTGAGCTCTGTGGAGAACGAGCGGATCATCAACCAGGCGCGTGAGCAGTACCGGCCCGTGGCGACCCGCGGCTCGATCCTGTACTTTATCGTGTCGGAGATGGCCATGGTCGACCACATGTACGAGACCTCGCTGGCGCAGTTCCTCAACGTGTTCGACGAGTCGATGGTGCGTGCGGCGCAGACGCAGCTCGCGGCGCAGCGGATCTCGAACATCATCGAGGAGCTGACGTACTCGACGTTTACCTTTATGACGCGCGGGCTGTTTGAGGAGCACAAGCTGCTGTTCCTCCTTCAGTGCGCGCTCAAGATTGATCTCGAGGCGCGCGAGATTGACGGGCTGGAGTACCGGACGTTTGTCAAGGGTGGGGCGAGTCTTGATCCAAAGACGGGCAAGGCGAACCCGGATCCGAGCGACATTCCGGAGGATGTGTGGCTCAACCTTCGTGCGCTGCACGAGATCCCGATTTTCCACAACATTCTCGAGCAGATTGAGAACAACGTGGCCGGGTGGAAGGCGTGGTACAACAAGGCAGAGCCCGAGAAGGAGGTTATTCCGGACGGGTACAACGAGATGCTCAACCCGTTCCAGCGGCTGCTGCTTGTGCGGTGCTGGTGCGTGGACCGGATGTACTTTGCGGCGGAGCCGTACATTGCCAAGACGCTTGGCGAGCAGTACACGGCGCCGCCACAGCTAGGCGTGGCGTCTGCACTGGAGGACTCTGACCCGCTTACGCCTGTGGTCTGCCTCCTCTCGATCGGGTCGGACCCTAGTGAGCAGATCCGGCAGCTGTCGAAGAAGCTGTATCGGCGCGTGCCGCTGGAGGTGTCGATGGGCGCGGGGCAGGAGGTTGTGGCGCGAAAGCACATTGCGACGGGCATGGCGAGCGGGCAGTGGGTCCTGCTCCAGAACTGCCACCTGGGCGTGGACTTTATGGACGAGGTTGTGGCGATTCTGACTGCTGCGACGGAGGCAAAGGAGCGTGCTTCCGAGGCGTACGCCAAGGGTAGCGGCGGCGGCGACGGCGACGACGACGACGACGACGATGAGGGCTCGTCGGGCGGCGGGCTTGGGGCAAAGGAAGCCGGGCCTGTGGTCCATGACGACTTCAGGCTGTGGATGACGACGTCGCCGACGACGGAGTTCCCGATTCTCCTCCTGCACCGCGGGATCAAGGTGACGAACGAGCCGCCGCAGGGCGTGCGTGCTGGCCTGCAGAAGACGTTTGCGGACGTGAGCCAGGACGAGCTCGAGTACGTGGACCGGCCCGAGTACCGGTCGCTGCTGTACTCGATCACGTGGTTGCACTCGATTGTGCAGGAGCGGCGCAAGTTTGGCCCGCTCGGGTGGAACATCCCGTACGAGTTTAACTCTGCGGACCTTGCGGCGTCGCTTGCGTTCCTCCGCAAGTACATGTACGACCTTGATCCGAAGGCCAACGTGGACTGGAAAACGGTGCGGTACATCATTACCGAGGTCCACTACGGTGGGCGAGTGACGGACGACTTTGACCGGCGGCTGCTCAAGAGCTACGGGACCAAGTGGCTGTCAAACGCGGTGGCTAACAGCGGGGCGTCGGGCGTGCACTACGAGTTTGCACCCGGCTACTGCGTTCCGCCGGACAAGAGTCTGGAGGGGATTAAGGAGTACCTGCTCTCGCTGCCTGCGACCGACTCGCCACTCGTGTTTGGGCTCCACCCGACGGCTGAGATTGCGTATCGGCGGGCGCAGTCGCTCGCGGTGCTCTCAACGATTTTGGCGATCCAGCCGAAGGACTCGACCAGCGGCGACAAGCCGCGCGAGGTTGTGGTGGACGAAATGTGCGCCAAGTTCCTGGAGCAGCTGCGGCCGGACTTTATCGAGTCGCAGGTGCGGGCCAAGATCGACGCGCAGTCCGCCCAGGCGGCGCAGGCTGCCGAAGAGGCCGGCGAGGCGAGCGGTGCGGACAAGGCGCCGCCGCCGCTCAACATTTTCCTCTTTCAGGAGGTGCAGCGGATGCAGATTGTGCTCAATCTGGTGCGGACGTCACTGACGGACCTGCGGCTGGCGATTGCGGGCACGATTGTGCTCTCAGAGCGGCTGATGGACATTCTCAGTGCCATCTACGACGGTCGAGTGCCGGAGGAGTGGGCGCGAGTGTCGTGGAAGTCGACGACGCTCTCGTTCTGGATGGCTGCGCTCGACTCGCGGTACACGCAGTACGAGGACTGGCTCAACAAGGGCCGGCCGCTGAAGGTCAAGATGGGACTGCTGTTCAACCCGCAGGGCTTCCTCACGGCGGTCCTGCAGGAGGCCTCGCGCAAGATGGGACTCCCGCTCGACATGGTCGACTCGTACACCACGATTCCCAAGGACGGCAAGGAGATCAAACGGACCGAGATGGGCGTGTACCTCGAGGGCCTCACGCTCGAGGGTGCGCGGTGGGATCGGCGTAACGGCAAGCTGGAGGACCTTGGCGACCGCGGCAAGCAGACCATGGTCGAGATGCCGTGCATCTTCTTCTCGGCGCGGCCCAAGGAGGAGCGTGACCTCACGCAGTACGCATGCCCAGTGTACGTCAGTCCGCGGCGGCAGGACCTCGAGTATGTGACCACCATCTGGCTCAAGACGGACCACGAGGAGGGTCCTGGATTCTGGGTCCGGCGCGGCGTTGCGCTGCTGACGACGCGCAATTAGAGGCTGTGTGTGTGTGGCAGAGCGAGTAACACCAACAAAGGCCCAACTAACTAGCTAAAGTGGATAGAGGCAGGTACATTTACATGACAACGACAAGCTCTTCGTCGTCGTCATCGTCATCGCCGTCGCCGTCGCCGTCGTCGCCGACGCTGCCGATGCGTGGACGCGAGAGCGAAGACGGCGAGAGAGCGCGGGCCACCTTGTTGACGGTAAACGCGCCGTCGTTGTCGGACCGCTTGCGCTTGCTGGATGGATGAGCGGCGGCAGCGACGGCCGAGGCGACCGAGACCTTAACAGTTGGGCCGGCGGCGGCGGCGGCCGGCACAGACGAGTGCAGCGGCGGCGGCGGGCTGGGGACGGGCTGCGGGCGGGCCGCCGCTGACACGCCAGCCACAGTGGCTGCCAGTGCAGTGACGGAGACGACGTTGGGGTAGGGCGTGGTGAGCGAGACCGGGACCGGGGTCGGGGTCGGAACCGGCGCCGGTGTTGTTGGCGCGGGAACCGGCGGCGGCGGCCGAGTCAGCGAGGCGATGGGAACCGGGACCGGCGCAGGAGCAGGGGCGATGATCGACGGCGCCGGCGGGGACAGTGCACGCAGAGTCGGCGGGACCGGAGGCGTTGGCAGCGGTGCCGGTGGAGCGACAGGAGTGGGAGCAGGCAGGGCGGAAGCGTCCGGAGGAGCAGTAGGCGGAGCAGAAGCGGAAGCGGTGGAAGTAGTGGTAGTGGAGGCAGTAGCGGTAGCTGTGGAGGTAGTTATAGCGGAAGCAGGAGCGGTAGCGGGAGCAACAGCAGGAGGCGGCATGGCAGCAGCGTCAGCGTCAGCAAAGGGATCATGTCCGTGATGAAGCGAGTTGACACGGATCTGCAAGGTGTGGAGGAGCGAGCGAGAACCAAAGGCTTTGAGCAGAACAGGAGCAATGCGCATGGCCAGAGCGGCGGAGAGGGCCTTGTCCGAGTTTGTGATCCTGTTTGGCCTCTTCTTTGCCGAGACCGAGGCGTTGGGAGGAAAGACAAACTCCCAGACGGAGATGGAGAGCGGACAACCGACCTTGACACTTGCTCGCTTGCGGAGAGGGACAGAGCCCGAGGCGCGAGTTTTTCGTGACCGACCAGCTTTGCACTGAAAAAGCGAACGAGCCACTTTGCCCACCACAGCTCCAGGCGCCTTTGATGCCCTCGGCAATGCCTTTCGATGCATTTCTGCGTAGAGCATGGTAGCGGCCGCCGACTCGAGCTCCTCCTTCACGGCCTCCCACTCTGCCCATGAGCCCACATACCCCACAGACACATCCCCATCCTCCTCATACCCATACAGTCGCCGCCCAAGCACCTCCTCTATTGCCTGGTTTGCTCCTTTCTCCATGGCTGTGCCCACTCCACCCGGGGAGAGGAGAGGTCCGCTGGCCGTGTGCGTGATCAGTGGGTGATCGATCGGGCAACGGACGGGGGGGAGGAGGGGAGGTGGGGGAGGGGGGAGGAGGGGTGGAGGGGGGGGGTAGTGGGGTGGGAAGTGGGGCGGGGGGTGGGGTGGGGGAGGGGGAGGAGGGAAGGGGAAGGAGGTGGCGGGGGTGGAG